ATACTTGATTTGTGAAGGTGACACCATAGAACACTGACAAAAATGATGGGCTTTTCCATGAATATTGCCACATCAAGTGAGTACCCATATTAAAATATAATAATCCTTAACTCATAATTTACATGAAAATCAGTTCCAAGTATATTGTGAGTCTAAAGGCAAAAGCTAAAACAATAACATTTATAGAAAGACGATCACAAAGGTGAATATTTTCATGATTTGGGAGTTAGGGAAAGTTTTCTTTATCAGGATACAGAAAAAAATCCCACTAATCATACAAGAAAAGATGAACAAATTGAGTTACTAAAAATCAGAGATTTCTGCTCATCAAATGGCACCATTAAGCAAATGAAAAGGCAAGTCAACAGGTGGGAGAAGCTACCTCTAACACAAGCAGCGGCTTGTATGCAGAATATACAAAGAACTCCTTCCAATTAGTAAAAGACAGACAATCCAATAGAAACAATAGGCAAGAGACTTGAACTTAGCACTTCACAAAAAAGGATGTTCAATAAACTGAAAATATTCTGATTTTCATTTGTAACAAAGAAAATGTAAATTAAACTCACTCACACCTAGCAAAATAACAAAAATGAAAAAAAAAGAAACAGAAAAAAACCAGTGTTGGTAAAAAAAACGTATTGCTAGTGAGAGGGTAACTTGGCACAACCACTTTGGAAAACTATTTGGCATCATCTATTGAAATTGAACATATGCATATTCTATGACCCAGGAATTTTACTCCCATGTATATAGCCATTAGAAATACATATGTATGTACCAAGAGACATGCACAAGAATATTTATAATAACATTATTTGTAAGAGCTGAAAACATCCCAAATATCCATCACTTATACAATGGTATATAAATCCGTGTGTATTTATAAAATATAATATCACAAAACACTGAAAATTAATAGATGACCACTGTATGCAACAAAAACGGATTAGTCTCACCAATATAATGCTAACCAAAATAATTTATAAACAAATACACACTGTATAATTCAATTTATATAAAGTACAGACGGCCCCGACTTACATTTCCACTTACAATGTTTCAACTTTACAATGGCACAAAAGCAATACACATAATAAACTGCATGAGATATTCAATGCTTTATTATAAAATAAGCTTTGTGTTAGATTATTTTGTCCAGCTATATGCTAATGTAAGTGTTCTGAGCTTGTTTAAGGTAGGCTAGGCTAAGCTATGATGTTTGGTAGGTTATGTGCATTAAATGCATTTTCGGCTTACAATATTTTCAACCTACGATGGGTTTATCCAGACACAATTCCATCATAAATTGAGGATCAGCTGTATAAAAAATCCAAAGCTAATCTATGGTGTTAGCAGGACAGTGCTTATAGCTGGGGAATAAAAAGGGAGAAGTGATTGGGATGAGGAATGGGAAAGGCTTCTGGGATGTTAGTAATGTTTTATTTCTTCACCTGAGTCATAGTTACACAAAAATTATGATAATTCGCCAAGCTGTACACCACTGCTTCTCATCCAGGGGCTAATTTGGCTCTTCAGGGGACATTTAGCAATGTCTGGAGGAATTTAACAACTGGAAAGGAAGATGGCTGCTACTGGCATCTAGTGGGTAGACCCAGGATGCTGCTAAATACTTTACACTGCACAGAAGAGTTCTCTCAGCCCAACAGAGAATCCTATCACCTAAAATATCAGTAATGTTGAAATTGAGAAACCCTGTTGTACACTTGTTACTTGTGTCCTTTTGTGTAAGTTAATTCTAGTTAAAAAGGCGGGGGGAGCGGCACGTGTATATGTATCCATACAAAAACAAGAATACTACTCTCTTTCCAAGTTTTCCTATTTCTGTTTCTTTGCTTCTTGTTAATTTGATTTGTTGTCTTCCAGTGGTCACTAAGAGCTGAAAGGGGCAAATGCTCTTGGGAAATTGTGTGGAAGCAAAGCTGAAATTGAGGAAATTCTGCCTATTTATTTACCATTTCCTGTGCGACTCATTATTTCACTATATTGGAAGGGCCTTTATATCCAACTCTGAAATGCTAAATTAAGGGGAGAATAATTGGAGAAATCCATTACTCCACACTGAAACAAGCTTTCTAAGAAGTGTCCAGGACTCTCTCGGCCTTAACATCATCTGTTTAGATACCTCCGCGCCATGAGAGCCAAGCGGAGGAGAAGCGAATGCCAGGCTGAAGCGCAAAAGAAGAAAGATGAGACAGAGGTCCAAGTAAACCGTTGCTTGTGCACCTGTGGAAGCCACAGGAGCAGAAATGAGGAAGGCCAGAGGTCAGGGACACTGGAACAAATTGTTGGACTGCATGCCTGCTGTCTAGAATTTCTCAGTGGATCTAGAATATCCATCGCCATCTGTTCCCCGCGACCACCTTTTGAGAGACCCACTTTGCTTGTACAAAAACAATCCTTTGCTCTGAACCTGTGACATTCTGGACAAGTTGTGCTCTCAGTTGTGGCTGAATGTAATGTGTACAATAAATCATCTGCTGTCTTAGCTGAAGAAAAAAAAAGAAGTAGTGTACAGGGTCTAAAACAGCGACTTTTGCATGCCATACTTCAGTCACAGATGTATTATGTTTGTTGTAAGTAGAAAGCAAAGTGCATTATTGATACTTTTCTGTATAGGTATATGGAGAAATATCCAAAATAAATAATTTGATTTCATAGGAAAATATCCAGCATTATTTTTGCATCCTAATTTTGCAGATGACTAAATACAGTTCAGAAAATGAATACAGGGCCAGCCGTGTGGCACGTTGGGTAAGAGTTGGCTTGGGACACCAGCTCTGAGCAGCAGGGCTGAGGTTCAGACCCCACATGAGGGCCAGTGACACTGCCCTCCACAGCTAAGATGGTGAACAACAGCTCGACCTGGAGCTGGGCTGCCATGAGTCGCTGGCAACGGTGTAGGCTGCAGAGGGGCTGCAGCAGGCTGCCATGAGCTACTGTGAGTGGCTGACAGCCAGCGGGAGCAGCCGGCAGCTGGCATGAGTTGCCATGAGCCACTGTGAGCGGCTGTCCAGTGGCCAGCGACCGATCTCCCTCAGCTGGGAAGAGCGCAATGATCACAATACCAACATGGGCCAGTGAAGTGACGTCCTCCACAACTAGACTGAAGAACAAAAACAACAGCAACTTGTCTGTTCCCCTTCCCCGATTCCCCAAAGCTGTTCCCTTCCCCCAATTCCCAAATAAAATCTTAAAAAGAAAAAAAGAAAATGAATACAAATTTCGACAAAGGCTAGGTTGCAACCCATATGTCAATGATTCCATCAGTGTTCACTCCCCCAGATCTGTTAAAGGACGTTTGCTAATTGCAAGAAGTACTAAAAGGAATTTACTTACATGGTACAAAGGACTGAAGATGGTTGCTTAAGCAAATTAATGTATCCAAAGAAAATAACAAACTAACTTAAATGGTTCATTTGTTTTTTTATAAAGATTTTTATTGGGGAATTGGGGGCATGGGAACAGTGCTGGGGAATTGGGGGAAGGGGAACAGACAAATTGCTGTTGTTTTGTTCTTCAGTCTAGTTGTGGAGGACATTGCTTCACTGGCCCAAGTTGGCACCATCATTGCGCTCTTCCCGGGCGAGGCAGATCAGTCGCCGGCTTCTGGATGGCCACTCGCTGCAGCTGCCGGCTGCCCTCGCTGGCTACTGGCTACACACGGTAGCACATGACAACCCACTGCCACAGGGACTGCAGACTACGCTGTCGCCGGCGACTCACAGCAGCCCAGCTCTAGGTTGAGCTGTTGTTCAGCATCTTAGCTGTGGAGGGCAGTGTCACTAGCCCTCATATGTGGGATCCGAACCAGGGACCTCTGGCGTCCCAAGCCAGTTTTTAACCATCGCGCCACTCGGCCGGCCCTGGTTCATTTGTTTTATAACTGCTTATATCAATTCGGATTTGAAACATAGTATGAATTGCTCAATTCAGGATCACTTTTATGAAAAATAATGCAATCACTGAATTAAAGACTCCTCAATAGAACACAGTAGTCCTTATTCAGAGATGTTGGAAATTGAAGGTCTCTCACTCTTACTACTAAAGTATTTACTTTCCTCCTAACATAACCTCTTAACTCCTAGAAGAGGATGAGTTAGTGACTGGAAAAGATAAACTAAACTAAACCAAACTAAACCAAACCAACCAACCCACCCAACCTAAACTGATGCCAGCATCCCCCACCTCAACCACAGAAAAAGAGACCAACAGGGAGTTAGTTGCCTTGAGATGAGATTATTAGGCACCTCCCAGAGTAGAGGGAGATGAAGGGACCTTGGGAGGGAGAAAACATACCAATTGATGCAGGGGGAGATTTCTCAAAACGATGGAGTTTGGTAGGCCCTGGGAGTAGTCAAGAGCACATCATGCATAGGCTCGAGTTTAACTGAACTTAGAAAGCAATGATTCTTGACTTGCACCCAGGTTGACATAGTGAAATCCATGGCTACTGCATTCCCACAGGCTAAACAAAAAGGTGAATGAGAAGGTTCTCAACCCTCATCCTTTCTCAAGATCTAGGTTTAGAAGAAATTTAGGAACTACTCCAGCTTTGCCCCTCAGCTGATCTGGAGAACAAGCTGGGTATTTCAGACTCATCTTGCAAGTCACCACAAATGTCTCAGAATGTCTCAGGGGCATGGTCTGTACCTTCTGAGAAGCAATGTGAACCCAAGTGGGCCTCTAAGAGAAGAAAGCTCATGGGTGGTTTTCAGATGCAGACAGAGACCTCACTCGGTGAGGTTTCTAATTACTATATGTTAGAGTTTATGAAAGCAAAGATACTGTTATCTCTCTCTCTCACACACACACACACACACACACCCCTGCCAAGGCATTGATGAGCCTATGATCGGGCTATACTTTTAATTCCACGTTCTATCCCTAAGTTTTAAATACTCTTTCTTTCTTGCCTTCTCCATGCCAATCCCACTAGCCATCAAATCTGGCTTTTCAAGCAAAGGCAAAAAACTCACGCGACTTTAGCACAGACAGTGCACTTCCAGCTGCCATCAAGGCCCAAGACCCGACACTCGCTGCACACTCTTAGAGAGCAGGCCTGGCATGGGTCTCCCCGGTCAAATATTAAGCCCAGGTTTCTCTGACAGTGGACACAGACTCTGCTGGTGTCTTGTTGAGTTTTCCCACTTCTACGTTTTGCTTCTAAGAGATCATTCTTCAGCTTCCTGGAAGGAGAAAAACAAAACAAAAACAAAACAAAACAGAGGAACAGAGCTATCTTTATTTAAGTGATGTTTTCATTTGGAACACAATTTGAAATAATTAAGGAGTCAGAGCCAAATACTTTCAGAAAATACAGTTTCTCCCTACAGAATAAACAATCTTTTGACATCGATAGTTAAAAAAACATGTTTGTGCTTTGTTTTTCAATTCTGGCATCCTTCAGGAGCACTGCTATTTTACTATTAGTATTTATTCACATTATACTCTTACTTCTCCAGGATATCTTTGATACTATAAACATTGGAGCATAATCCCAATCTAGAGACATACACAGTGCCATGTTCTTTACTTGCCTGGATACACTACACGAGTCAAGAGTGTGAAATCAAAGTTGGCAATATGGGTAATTCCCTCAAGTCAGGGGTCGGCAAACTTTTGAGACGGAAGAGCCACCAGGGGTCAGCAAAACGCGGCTCACGAGCCACAGGCTCTGAAGTAAAATTGAAAATGAAAATAAAACTATCATAGTTTCATTTATAAAATTTTTAAAGGATATTATTCACATAATGGTGACTATGTAAAAATATATTTATGGCTCTCAAATAATTTTTAAATTGCTGTGAGGGACAGGATTGGCTCTTCCAGGGGTCAGCAAACTTTTGAGACAGAATGTACCCAAAGAGCCACATGTGGCTCGTGAGCCACAGTTTGCCAACCTCTGCCTTAAGTCATCCAATGAAGAGTCTGCTACAAAAACATTGCCCACCTTTTCAGATCGAAACACTTTTGCTTAGCCTTTGAGTGTTTCCAACAATTTCCAGTGACCTACGGGCTTTGTTGTCAGACATGCCTATGTTTTTGAATCCAGGTTCGATCATGAATTAGCAGTACAACCTTAAGCAATGATTTACCTACTCAACTTCAGTCTCTTCATTTCTAAAATGGGGGTAATAATATTCTTACATGACTGTTTTTAAGATTCAATGAGATAATATAAAGTTATCAACACGATTCCTGGCACTAAATAAATGCTGTTTTCATGTCCCTTCTTTTACTATCTGACATGTAATCCATTTATATACACTTTAGAAAATAGCTATTCAAAGTGTTGTCCTTGTTCTAGAAGCGTCGCCATCATCTGGGAGCTTGTTAGGAATACAGAAACTCAGGCTCCACCTCAGACCCACTGGATCAGATTCTGGATTTTCACAAAATCTCTAGGTGATTGGAGTTTGAGAAGCACAGCTTTGGGATATTTGTTTTCAAATTTGACTATACACTGGAATATTTTTAAAAACACTGATTCCCGAGTCTCACCCCCACAGAATCTGATGTAATTGCTGTGGGATGTGGCCTACACAATGACATTTTTAAAAGCTTCCCTATTTATTCTAATATACTTCCAAATCTGGAAAACACTATTCTAGAAGTTAGGCTCCTCCCCACTTAAATGCTTCACAGACATGCCATTTCTTTATGCTATCTATCTCCAATCCCTTCTTCAACACATTTCTATGTTACAGAAAAACAACATCCCAGAATCATCCCACGCATCTCATACCATCTCCTTTTACATTTGTGGTACTGTGCTTTGTTATACCCAACTGGACTAACATCCCCCCAAAGGTAGTAACAATAACTTTAGTTTCTTATATATACTGTTCAGGACCCAATTTCGTGCTAGGTTAAAAAGTATTTGAATGTTTAAAACTATTCATTATCTCTTTGGGGCCTTCAAACTCACTTGTGAGGTATTATTATGTGTCTCATGTCAAAAACAGTACACAGTATAGATAAAAGCAGAAACCAGATCTTTTAATTCCTTGCTTAATGACAGTTCATAAATGTGAAATTTTAAAAAATGAGATTTCCAAAACCTTTAATTCATTGTCTCATTCATTCATCCAATGAGTATTTACTGAGTGCCTACTGTGTGCTAGGCATTCTGATATTCAGAGACAAAAATTAGTCAAAACAGGACATCTACTAAGGATTTCCATTATCCTTGATCTTAGTTGAGAAGAGGACGAATTATGCAAGATGATTCATGTGTTGCAACAGGCAGCCATACAGAGCACCCTGAAGTCCTTACTCTCTTGTTTATTTAAAAACAAATGACAGCAACCCACATCAAATGCTTTCCTAATCCCTGATTTAGAGCTTACAAAGTACCCTCATGTTCCTTTTTTCCATGATAAATGGTTCATGAAATTGAGTGTAAGAAAAGCTCCACAGGATTTACTTTTGAAAACTTGTAAAAGCTACAAGCTTTAAAATAACAGGATAAGTTCTTATTTGAAGACCACAACTGTATTATTTGGAGAAACACAACAGATATTTGAACACCTCAGGGCACAAGAAAAATAAACCACTGCCTATTCAAAATCTATAACAACTCATGCAACAATGATAAAGAAACAAAGTGATCAAAATGAGTAGAACAAAGATAGCAATCCTAAACCGCAGTCCTATTGGAGTAAGTTGGGGGGTCAAAGAATAATAAACTGAGAAAATGAGGTGTTCCAGGATATTCCAGAGGCAAATTCTCTTCTGGAAAAAATTCTATGATTAGGTGCCTGAAGTTTAACCACTTAAACTAGGGTGCATGAGAACACTTGGAGAAATTATGGCCATAAAATCAAACATTTCCACTGGATCTTTCTTTGTGCTCTACTGACAGGGCTTAATTTAGCAACCAGGTTTCACCTAGTTCACAGATCTAGAGTCTGAAAAGAACTGGAGTTCTGTATAAACCAGGCCACTGGGAGGCAAGAATTTAAAGTTCCAGTGGCAGTGGGGGCGGGGGGTGGCCAGTTAGCTCAGTTGGTTACAGCATGGTGCTGATAACACCAAGGTTGCCAGTTCGATCCCCCCATGGGCCACTGTGAGCTGTGCCCTCCCTTAAAAAAAACGATTATGCTTAAGAAAAGAATTTAAAGTTGCAAACACACTAGTTGGGGAATTCCTAAGGCAATTGGTGCTAACTGTCCCACATATTCTGGAAGCTATATCTGAGACATGGGATAAGCTGGGAAGAATTCCATAGGCTGGCACAAACTACTAGCAGCTTACTGGTTTTTCAAATCCCTCTTAAAAAACTGACCTAATTCAATCATATCTAGGATAGTTCACATTAAGTGGACACAGCCATTTTTCAGACACTCAAGAAGAGGAGAAAAGAGGGTAATTGCAACTAGGAAAAGAAAGTGTGCAATTGGAGAGTAAGTGCCAAGGAAAAAGGGAAGTATAGTGAGCTAGAAGAGTGGAGTAGGATGGGGGATGTCTCTTCCCCCCACTTAACTCGCCAGCACTTATAAAGCAGTGTGGACCTCCTTTGGTTCTTGCATGGGTGGCCCAGTCTCAGACATTACCTGAGGAAGGTGAGTTTCTGGGCTGAAAAGAACAGGATCTGTTCATTTCTCTCATCCACATAAGCTAGAAATGCTTCCAGTTTAAAAGTAGCAGGCTTAAAATATTAATCTCATTTCCCCCCCACATAACAAGAAATCCAGAATGAGGTAATTGCTTGCATTAGTTCAGCTACAAAATCAGATAATTAAGGATTCCTTTCATCCTGATGGTCCCTTATCTTCAAGGTGTGTGGCTTATCATGCTTATACAAAATGGCCAGGCAGCTAGAGCACAGCACCCCCATTTAAGGGGGAAAGTAGGGGGAAGAGGTATCAGTTGCACCTTTTTCTTAACAGAAAAGCAAAAATTGACTTGGAAGTCATCCCATCAGACTTCTCCTTAGGTTTCCTTGACCAGACAGTGTCACATCACCACCACCAGCTAGCTGCAAAGGAGGCTGGAAAAGTGGAACAAGTTGGGACTGCACATCCCTGCCCTCTTGACATTAGATGTGGTCATGTGACTGGCATTGGTCCAGGAAATGTGGTATATAATGCCAGGTAAAAGCTGTAAGAGTGTTTGCTTTGCCACATACCCTCTTCTTTGGATACAGAATGGCAATGTCCCAAATAGTGTCTGCTCTGTAAGTCTGGGTCCTGGTCTGAGGATGCCATGAAGTACAGTCTCCAGCCACCCTCTTATGGATACGCAGCATGAGAGATAAATAAACCTTCACTGTTTTAAGCCACTAAGAATTCGAGGCTCTTACTGCAGCATCTCTTAACCTATCCGGGCTGATAAACATACAGTCTAGTGCTTCCTCTGGCTGGCGCCTCCATACCCTTTTTACTCCAGCTTTATTTCTGCTCCCCCAGAGGGACTTTCTCTGACCACCAAATCTATAGCAGATTCACCTCTTATTCTCATTCATGTGTTCTTTTTCTTCACAACACATACCATAATTTTTCATTGTACCTTGATTTGGCTGTTTTTAACTGGTTTAATGTTTGTCTTGCCAACTCCTCTGTAATATCCATGAGGGCAAAACTCTTATCTGTTTTGTTCAGCTATGTGCATTTTTAAGCACATAAGCAATGGCTGGAACAATAGATAGCATTTAATTGAATGAATAAAAAATCATACGTAAAAACTAGCAAGTGACAGAGGTGAGAGGGAGAGAGGGAGGGAGGGAGGGAGGGAGAAAAACTCAACCATGCTACTTCCTGGGTATCACTGGGCATTCCACTTAACCTCTACTGGGTCTCAGCTACTTCAACTTCAAAATGAAGATAATAATTCCTTTTCTATCTTCCTCCAAGGGTGGTTGTGAAGGCCAGAGGCAATCAAGTATGGTAGTGTGCTTTGTGAATTATAGAAGCTTTTATAATACGGAGCAAGCATTATTAAAAAGAGAATGAGAAGATTTAAAAAAATGTACACTGTTGGATCCACTAGGAATAAAGTCAAATTAAAATTGGCTTAAATTGAGATCAAATACACTTTGAAAAAGTAATGCAAGCCTGAGAAAACTACAAAAAGTCCTCAATTACTTGGTAAGAATTTCCAGACCTTATTTCATCTTCCTTAACCTAATTCCTGTAATTTTGTTCAGTAAGCAAAACAATTTTTTAACTCTTTTTTAAAAAACTTT